AAAAAAAAAAAAAAAAAAAAAAAGAAAAAGAAGATAATTTTATCAATTTTTGATTTAACCCCTTAAGATTCATTATATTTATTTCGTATTAACTATAAAAATTTAATAATTTAGAGCTAATATTACATACGTATTATTTATATAAAATTTATTACATACGTATTAAATTTTATATTTTTATATGTAAATAACACGACCATATTAATTATTTTTGTTATTAATGTTATAATTCTATATTATATATTTTTTATATATCTAATTTTTTTTATATTTCTAATTGAGAAATCTTTCACTTTGGATTCAATTTAATTTTTTTTTATATAAATTAATATTAAAATGATTTCAGATTAGAAAATATATTAAAATATTATAAATTAAAATAAATAAATTCAATAATAGTTAAAAAAATCTATTATTTAATATTGATGATATTTAATAATGATGAATTTATTATATATATATTTATTATATTCTTATTTTTATTCTTATTATGTGATATTCAAAATGAACAAGTATATGGAAATTTAAATTTATTAAATATTACCTCAATTCTGTCTCATACTTGTCATCCTATTATAATACAACAAAAATATTATGAAATGTATAACAATATAAATATATTGTAAATTTATTATAGTATTAATTTTTTAAGATTCATAAAATTTCAATGTTTGAAGATTGTATATTTTAAATTTTTTTAATATATTATTTTTAATACATTTTATATCTTTTTTGTCATATAAAATATAGTATATTAAATTAAATAATACTTTCTTTCATATTTTTTAATTTTAGCTAGTTTTAAAGCAAATGTGAACTATTTTACAATACTTTTGAACAAAAATATATGTTTTAATGATCTTTATATAATATTATTAATATATATGATATTTTCTGTTTTTTTAAATAAATTTTCAAGACTATCTTCAATTCTTTCATATAACTTTTTCATATAACTAATATATACAATCATTTCATATCGAAAATTCAATGAGCTGAAAACTTTTTTCATTTAATAAAAAAAAGAAAAATTATGCATAAAAAAATTTCAGTCATTTTGAATATTGAATCATTTTAATAATACAAAAAAAATTTTGATTGACTCACTAAAATAATAATGAAAATAATTGATATGGTCTATTTTATGATAAATTTCTTACATTAAATATAAAAAATGAAAATTTTTTTCGAAAAAAATGTAAAAAAATTTATAAAACAATAAAATAAAAAAATATATATATTTTTTTAAAATTAATTAGCTTCTTAAGGAGTTAATTATTTTACGATAGGAATTAATTATTTTAATTATCTTATAATTAATCTCATTATGACTTGTTAGATTAATTAAAGGTATAAGCCCATATTAAATAAACGAATAATATTATTCCAAAGTCATATTTTATTCATGCAATTCTGATTAAATTATTTTGTATGAAATATAATTCGTATAAAAAATTAGAGAATGAATAGATTGAAGTTATTATATTCTTACTATTATTTTTTTTATAAATTTATTAATTATAAATTATATAATTATTAATTATAATTTATTCCAATTGTTTTAGTGGTTTTCAGAATTTATAATGTTTTGAATATTTGTTAAATGAAATATTCTTTAAATTTTATATTTGAAATGTAGATAGAATATTTCATTTTACAATAATTATGACATTAAAATACTAAGAAATAATTTAATTGAAATATTAAATTTAATTGAAATTAAATATATAATAATTAAAGCTAATCATTTGATTTAATTGTATTGCTTTTAAGAATTTTTTATAATAATATCTAATAATAAGAATCACAAAAAATTATATATTTTAAAAATGAATAAAATACAATTTAAATCATAATAATAAAATAAAATTAATTTTGTATTTTGATCAATATTTATGTATTAAGTTTTAAAAATTATAATGTTGTAAAATGATTTGTCATATTTTTTTCATAAAAATCAAATGAGTTTAATATAAAATATGATAAATGCATTTTAAAATATTTAAAATGTATTGATATTTATTGCATTGATATTTATGAAAATTTTGTAATAAATGATGTTATATTATAACTATTAATAATTATAAAAATTTAATTATTTTATATAGAGCGTTTTTTCTATTGTTGACAACATATAAAGAAATAAATATATAAAAAGATAAATTAAAAATGAAGACTTATACTTTTCTTACAAAGCCTTATTCGTTTGTTATACTATAAACACTATAGCAGATATTATTGCGTTTATATTATAATTAATTATAACTTTGCTAGTCATTATAAACCAATACCAATGTATTAAATTAATTAATTGAATAATTATAAAGGTAGATAATCAAATTACTCATATTCTAATATAAGTATATAATACATTTGGAAAAAAGAAAAAATAGAAAATAAATAAAAAGTAAAAAAAATTTTTTTAATAAAAAATGCATTAAAATTTCTATTTGAATATTGAATTATTTTAAAATATTAGGAAGTAAAGATAAATATTCTAAATATATTACTTTATTTATATTTTATATCATATTTTATATTTCATAAGTATATATATATATATTTTTAAATTCTAATTAAAAAAAATTAGGAGTAATATAAAAATAGAAAAGAAATAAATTAAAAAAAAATTATAATATAAAAAATAATTAAAATATATTAAAAAAAATTAAAAAACCAAGGAGGAAAAAATTATTAAAACAATATAAATAATATGCAATTTTAGTTTTTAATGAAAAAAAAAGTTACAATATGAATTATTCTATTTATTCGATTATTTAAATATTAAAAAAAAATTGATTATTCAATTTTTTTTATAATTAATTGGTTTGAATAATCGAGCTCTTATTATATAAAACTTTATTTTTATTTCACTTTTCTCTTACTATTATTTACTATGTTTTCCTCTTACTATATCCTATAATATAATAAATCCTAGTAACAATATAGATACTGCATTGATATTTATTACATGTATACATAAATGGGATCATATGTAAGAGTTTAGCTTCAGTATTGATTTGTTTGGAAATAAGGCTTCATACAAGAAAAATTACATTTTTAATTTATTTTTTCATGTGAGTTTCCTTTTGAGTTATTTCGTCAATTTGAAAACATCGCACATTATAAATATTTTTTCTAATTTACGAAATCTGCATATTTCTGTAATATATTTTTATATATCTTGATTCATAATATATATTGTTGGTTCATAATAAATTATTTAATATTTTTAAAGTAAATAAATTAATCTAGTTATGCAAGTCACTTTAGATTAGAATACTAAAATAATATTCTAAATTTTTATGAAAATACTTCTTAAATAATTATACATTTTGAATAAATAAGTATTTCAAAATTTTATTAAAGTGTTATTAATGAAACTGTTGAATTATTAAATTTTAAATATATATTATTTAAAGAATGAGTATTTAAAAGAAAGATTTAGTTTAATAGTTTAATTAATTAACATGTATATTATGAAAAACGTCACATATAGAAAATTAGAATTACAGCTCCTGGCTATCAAATTAAAATTTTTAAAAATTTATTATTTTTCTATTAAAAAAATATATAATATTATACATATGTATCTATCTTTATTATATCTTACATTTTTCTTATAATAAATATTCTAATGTATGTAGTATGTAAAAAAAAATTGATATTATTTAAATTCTATGTAAATTGGAATATTTTAATTTACTTTGAAATTATATCAATAAAGATTGAATCGATTGAAAAATCGATATATATATATGTATATGTATATTTACAGCACTTGAGAATTATCTTTAGCACAATTAATAATCAGTAAGGATTAAATATTCCAAAAATAATAAAAATCTAAAAAATAATAAACTAATTATTATATATACATAATTTTATATAATTCATTATTATGATATTCATCATTATTCTTTTATTAAATTTTTAACATTATTGTAATGATGAATATAATTATCCAATATTACACAAAATGAATCACATAACGTGACCACATCAAATAACTTGTAAATTATTAAATATATAAAAAAATCTCATATATAGTTATATATAAATTATATATAAATTAATAATTATATATAAATTATTTCATACAAAAATTGTATAATATAGGAGATATAATTTGATGTTACTATTTTTTTTGAAAGTAAATATATAGTTAACAACATTTTTAGTTTGACATTTGATATAGATAATAAATAAATAAATATTTTTATTTTTTTCAAATTGATAAGATTTTTTTAGATAAATATATTATTTATAATTAGATAAAAAAAGGAATCATTATGAAAAAAATATTAAAAAATTTATAACAGTGAACAATATTAAAAAAAAACAAATTTATAAATTAATTTTAATTATTAATACTTTGATAATTTTACATTTAAAATTAATTAATCAAATTTTAAAGTGATTTATGAAAAGAAATATCCTCTACAGCATGCAATTTTTGTAAAAAATACTTTTTCATCCATTAATTAATTTACGTATGTTATTTTATTTGAGGTGATCATGTTACGCGATTCATTCTGCATGTATAGTAGGTCACAACAGTATTGAAACAACGTACAGGGTGTTCATTAAACTTGTAATACTCGTCATAAAAAAATCTTAATAAATATGAATTGAAAAACCTATTAAATATATTTGACATATCCTCTGTTCATTTTGATATACACTTTTCCTTATAAATACGTACACACATTGAAAGATCGTCAACGTTAATAATTAGTGTTAATAATTAAATTTTTTGGATTCGTTAGATATTATGAAATCTCTATAATTGTAATATTCGAAATAATAAGTGTTGAATTAAAAAAAATATAGTAGAATTTTTATATTTAATTATTTACAGATTTCATAATTTACTTATTTATTAAATCACTTTAAAGTATTAAATTTTTAAAGCGTTGAATATTGATTATATTCCATCTGTTTTTCAAATCATTTGAATT